CATGGTTGTGCCACTGAACTCCAGCCTAGGTGACAGAACGAGACCCTGTCTCAAAAAATAAATAAAAATAAAAAGCAATAGTAATAACACGAAAATGTAAACATATAAAATTTTCTCATCAAATAGCAATAGTGTGATCCAGATTCATTTAAATTTCCTTTTAAAATCAGAATACTAGGAACCAAAAATGAAAAGAGGCCTAGCTTAAAATCTGGTTTACTTTGTGCCAACAAAAGCTAAATTTGGCCGGGCACGGTGGCTCACACCTGTAATCCTGGTACTTTGGGAGGCTGAGGTGGGCGGATCACGAGGTCAGGATTTTGAGACCAGCCTGACCAACGAGGTGAAACCCTGTCTCTACTGAAAATACAAAAATTAGCCAGGTGTGGTGGTGCATGCCTGTAATCCCAGCTACTCAGGAGGCTGAGGCAGGAGAGTCGCTTGAATCTGGGAGGAGGAGGTTGCAGTGAGCCGAGATCACACCACTGCACTCTAGCCTGGGAGACAGAGCAAGACGTCGTCTCAAAAACCAAGCTAAACTTGAGTTAATTCCTTTTCTGAAAAACATCTGTCACCTTGACCAATGCCACAGCTTTCCTCTTCCTGATCTGGTAACTTGTAACACTTAGTTTTCTAATTAGCCACTCCACAAATTATCCTAACCAATATGGAAATCAATTAATCAAAAATAATCTGACCCTGCACAAATTATTCTACTGACATGGAAAACACCAGTAAAATCTTCTACTTTTGTGACACCCAAATAATAAAACAACCACCCACAATAATATTAAAATTAGATCAAAATATTTATAAAAAGCATTTCACAGCCGGGCGCGATGGCTCAAGCCTGTAATCCCAGCACTTTGGGAGGCTGAGACGGGCGGATCATGAGGTCAGGAGATCGAGACTATCCTGGCTAACCCGGTGAAACCCCGTCTCTACTAAAAAAATACAAAAAACTAGCCGGTTGAGGTGGCGGGCGCCTGTAGTCCCAGCTACTCGGGAGGCTGAGGCAGGAGAATGGCATAAACCCAGGAGGCAGAGCTTGCAGTGAGCCCAGATCCACCCACTGCACTCCAGCCTAGGCGACAGAGCGAGACTCCGTCTCAAAAAAAAAAAAAAAAAAAAAAAAAAAAAAAAAAAAGCATTTCACAACCACAAAATACTCTGACTAGAGAGTAAACCTTGAAGAATGGCAGAAGCAGTAGTTACTATATAGATACTATGTGCTTGATCCTGCTCAAATTTTTGAACATAATTAGTTACATAAACTTCATGGTAACATAAGAAGTACAATGATGATCTCAAAGTCAGTTAACTATTTAATTTAGTCAAAGAAGCCTCAAAAAGGATAATACAATTTGCAATCATTCCTTATTTGAATCCCCAGGAAAGGACTCTAAGTTATAGTTAACACACAGTATATCTTGATTTAACATGAATAACATTGATCTTACTACTGGATTTGGAAATTTATGGACCAAAGTTACACTATTTCACCTAAAATAAGTCTAAAAGGAATTAATTTTTAATTCTGAAAAATGTCAAACCTATGTTAAAATTGAAGGAGTACAGAGAATATCAATATATTCCTCACCTAGATTCATCAACTGCTAACATCTAACCAAACCCACTCTGCTTCTCCATCTTTATACCTTGATATGCACATTTTTCTTTTGTTTAGAGAGGCTAAAATCAATTTGGTTCTTTACTTTTAAATACTTCAAAATCACCTCCCCCAAACAAAAACACTCTCCCATATGATTAACCAGAAAATGAACAGTAATAACAACATCCAACAATTAGTCCATACTCAAAAGTTCCTTAGCAGTCCCTAAAAGGTTCTTCACACCAACTTTTTCTTTAAGTTTTCTTTTTCTCCCCTGCAGGAAACAAACACGCCAACTTTTTAAAAGCCCAGGATTCGATTCTATATTACATTTGGATGTTATGTCTCTTCAGTCTTTGCCAGCCTAAAACAGTTCTGCTGCCTCTCTCCATTCTTTGTAATATTGAATCTTTTGAAGAGTGTGGATAACTGTCTTGCAAAACAACCCACCTTCTGGATATATATGCCCATTTCTTCAAAATTAGATTCTGCATATTCAGCAAGAACCCCACAAAAGTGATATTATGTTTTGCCCCCCACCCCAATAATCGCAACAGGAGACACATAATTGTTTATGGCAATGCTAAACTTGAGCACTTGACGAAGTTGGTAACCACCAGATGTCTGTGTTACAAGGGTACATTTTTCCCCCTTTGTAAACTGTGGGATGATACTTTAAGATCATCTTAATATCCTGTCCTAATACCTTTCACCTAATGACTTCAACATCTAATGATAATCCTTGCTAACTATTATACTGAGATTAGAAAATGGCAATTTTCTTTATCAATTTTATTTACCACTCCTTCTACTTATTAGCAGACATCTTTATGTGAAAAAAGTAGATCTTTTCCTTTGTTTTTCAATGGGCCCTGGTTCCTTTTAGTGGGGAGTGGTATTTAGAAACTGAGTCTACATGTGTTCTTTGCTACTGGGTTTCCATTGTTTCTAGGTCCTTTCTATGAACAGACCTAGGAACTCACCAGTTTTAAAAAAATGGGTCCATACTCATACCATCTATTTACATTCAGCATCACAGGGTTCTTTCTCACCTTTCCCATTCCATATTTATATCTCCCTTCTCCATGGTAAAAACACTATTTCCCAATATAAGTATTTTATTCATTTGCCCTATTCTATAATACATACAAAACAGTTTAAGAATTAACACCTGGCTGGGTGCAGTGGCTCACACCTGTAATCCCAGCACTTTTGGAGCCCAAGGTGGGCAGATCACTCGATGTCAGAAGTTTGAGACCAGCCTGGACAACAGGGGAAAACCCTGTCTCTACAAAAAAAAAAAAAAAAAAAAAAAAAAAGAAATCTAGCTGGGAGTGGTGGTGCACGCCTATAATCTCAGATACTTGGGAGGTTGAGGTGGGAGGATGGCTTGGGCCTGGGAGGCAGAGGTTGTAGTGAGTCGGGATCGTGCCACTACACTCCAGCCTGGGTGTGAGCCAGACATTATCTCCAAAAAAAAGAAAACACACAAAAAAAACCAAAAACCAAAAACACCAATAATACAAATCAAAGTCAAGTTTTCTAAATAGTTCTATTTGTTGTTAGAATATATCCTACTAAGCGCGTAAAAGTCATCTGAATTATTTTTTCTTCTGTGTGATTATCAATTTAATATGTAATAGCATCTGTGGTTTCTCTGTTCATATTCATTCAGTTTTATCTATTTTTTTTTAGACGGAGTTTCGCTGTTGTGGCCCAGACTGGAGTGCAATGGCACGATCTCAGCTCATTGCAACCTCTGCCTCCTGGGTTTCAAGCGATTCTCCTACCTCAGCCTCCCGAGTAGCTGGGATTACAGGCATGCACCACCACGTCCAGCTAATTCTGTATTTTTAGTAGAGGTGCGGTTTCTCCATGTTGGCCAGGCTGGTCTCGAACTCCCTACTTCAGGTGATCTATCCGCCTTAGTCTCCCAAAGTGCTGGCATTACAGGCGTGAGCCACCGCGCCCAGCTCATTCAGTTTTAGTTTGCTTTTTTTGCCGTTCTTTTTTATTTTGTGAATAAGTAAAACATTTAAATGCTTAAGTCACACCTGTATAAAAAGTATACTCATTGGAAGGAATTTAATAATTTTAACAAAACTTGTTAGCATATTAATGAGTGTCAAGATACACCTGAAACTAAATTTGTGGTGCAGTGAAACAGTAAACTGATAATATAATTATTTCAAAGAAATTTTAAAAGATTAGGGGCAAAAGCTTGAGATTTAAAGTTGCTTTTTTTTTTAAAGCTGTTCTTTACCGTGGGAATAAAGGTGTACTTAAACACTAAAATGCACAGCTATAAAAACAAAACAACACTGAGCTAATCTGATTACATCCAGCTTTTGCACTCAATAGCCCTTGACCCTCCAGCCGTAAGTAAGCCTGTCATTCGCTCAGCCCTGCTATACATTCTCATTAGTTTTGTTTCAAACCCAGTGTTACAGAAACAAAACACCAAGCCCTCAATCATGCTATGCGTATCTTTATGTGTGCATGTCTTATGTATGTTTAAAATAAACGTTTTAGGCCAGGCTTGGTGGCACATGCCTGTAATCCCAGCACTTTGGGAGGCTGAAGTGGGTGGATCACTTGAGGTCAGGAGTTCGAGACCAGCTTGGCCAACATGGTGAAACCCCATCTCTACTAAAAATACAAAAAAATTAGCCGGGAGTGGTGGTGCACACCGGTAACCCCAGCTACTCAGGAGGCTGAGGCAGGAGCACTGCTTAAACCTGGGAGATGGAGGTTGCAGTTAGTGGAGATCATGCCACTGTACTCCAGCCTGGGCAACAGAGTGAGACTCTGCCTCAAAAAAAAAAAATAAAAAAAAAAATTGATTAATTAAAATCCAGGCCAGGCACAGGGGCTCACCTGAGGTCAGGAGTTCAAGACCAGCCTGGTCAACATGGTGAAACCCCACCTCTACTGAAAATACAAAAATTAGCTAGGTGTGGTGATACATACTGTAATCCCAGCTATTTGTGAGGCTAAGGCACGAGAATTGCTTAAACCCAGGAGGCGGAGGTTATAGTGAGCCAAGATAGTGCCACTGGACTTCCGCCTGAGTGACAGAGTGAGACTTTGTCTTAAAAAAAAAAAAAAAAATCCAATTACCAATAAGATTTGGTAGATACTGGATATACCCAGGTGTAAAAAAAATGTTACCTCGTGAAAACTGACTTTTAAAAACCCACTAATATCATTAAGAATATTAAATGAAGGCTTTAAGATATCATCAAAATATGTTCTGAATGCCATAAAACAAAGTTACAAAAGGAAACATCAAACAACATTTCTAAAAGTTTGTGTTGAGTTTCTATAAACTCAAAGAAAGGAAGAATACAAAAACAAACAAAAAAAATAAAAGAAAAAGAAAACATACCAACACCAACAGCACCAAACTGCTGCCCAACTAAGGAACTTGGACTGAACTGACTGTATGTGGGCATCCTGCCGAAAGGCCCGTAAGAACCCATGGACTGGAATGAAGAAGTCGATGAGCCTAGTGAGGACTGAAGGAAAATCATGAGTTATCTTTCCAAGCTCTAAGCAACATGTATATAATGAAAAAAATTTCCAGATTTTTACACTTTTAAGAAACCTATTAAAACTACTAAATATAAAATGAATTAATATGCACTTAACATTAAAATAGCCAAACGACCTTCTGATTTCAATATTTGTCTATAATGTGCCAATTATACTCAATGTAACTTACGAATACTTTTTCTACACTAAACTCCCCATTTAAGAGTTTTATAGATTGAGGAAAGAAAGTTACTTAAGTACAGTAACTTTGCTTAAAGAAAAATATGAGAAAAATCACACTTAGTAATAATGGGTTTTAGTCTGATGCTGATATAAATCTCACATGTGATTTCACTCTTATTTTCAATCATTTGAGGCCTACTATTATATTCACATGAAAGAGATGCAGAAACAAACATATCCCACATAAAATCATTTACATGTTTACTTATAGTTATATTAAGTGGAGGAACATTTTATAAAAACTTTAACTTAAACCTAAAGCATATAAAATATATAACATATACTAATACACGTACTTCATATATTATCTTATTATAAACTGTTTCATAATATAAACATGAAGTGTATTAAAGGCTACCAGGACATACATTCACTGATGGCAGGATCTTTTCTTTGTGTTCACTACTAGTGTTAAACACATGCCAGACACTCTGTAAATACTACGGAATGAATGAATAAGAAGATCAAGTAGAAGTTTGTGATGACTGGAAGAAGTTACTCAACACCATTTTCACATGCACTCTCTTAGTTTTTCTTCTTCTATAAAACTGATTACTCAAATCACTGGTTTCCTGGAGAATTATCGAAAGCCATATAAAAGAGACAGTAAGGTAACACCAGTGTTTGGTGTAGGGAGCTATCTCTATTAAGAAAGTGTCTCTTCCTTCTCCATTTAAAGAGATTTACATTTTCGGCCAGGCACGGGGGCTCACGCCTGTAATCCCAGCACTTTGGGAGGCTGAGGCGGGTGGATCACGAGGTCAGGAGATCGAGACCATCCTGGCTAACACGGTGAAACCCCATCTCTACTAAAAATACAAAAAATTAGCCGGGCATGGTGGCAGGCGCCTGTAGTCCTAGCTACTTGGGAGGCTGAGGCAGGAGAATGGCATGAACCCGGGAGGCAGAGCTTGCAGTGAGCCGAGATCGCGCCACTGCACTCCAGCCTGGGCAACAGAGCAAAACTCTATCTCAAAAAAAAGTAAATAAATAAAATAAAGAGATTTACATTTTCTCCGATTCTTTCAGGTTTCCTTTCACCAAAATAAGACTTAACAAGGGTAGGGGTAGATGATTAAAAAGTTTAAATTGGAAGATTTAAGAGTTGACCTAAATATGTTAAAATACATTTATGTTTGTGCTTTCTTATTATATAACATTGCAGGCCAGGCACAGTGGCTCATGCCTGTAATCCCAGCACTTTGGGAGGCTGAGGTCGGCGGATCACCTGAGGTCAGGAGTTTGAGACCAGGCTGGCCAACATGGTGAAACCTCATCTCTACTAAAAATACAAGAATTAGCCGGGCGTGGTGGTGCGTGCCTGTAGTCCCAGCTACTCAGGAGGCTGAGGCAGAAGAATTGCTTGAACCAGGCAGGCGGAGGTTGCAGTAAGCCGAGTTCGCGCCACTATACTCCAACGACTGTTTCAAAAAAAAAAAAGGAAGAAAAAAAAACCCCAACATTGCATATCGTAACATATGCAGAACAATGTGATTTTGCTTTTTGTTCCCCATTAAGCCTAATAATCTTATTTAAGAGTAGCTGTTATTGCCCTGGTTTGCAATATAAACCATATCTCAATAGCATGGTAGCACGGATTCTAGATTCTAAAGCAGGCTGCTTGGATCTGTTCAAATAGTGACTCTACCTGAATTTCCTCACTTGTTAAAAGTGAGAAGAATTATGGTAACAACCTCAGAGGGTGTCTTATATGTACACCACTTCCACAGCGTAGCCTTCAAGGTTAGCTACCGCAATTGTTGTTGACATTAGAAAATATTTCATAACAAATTCTTCAGCTGCTTCTTATCTTAGTGCTAATTTATGATTAGAGAAAAACCTAGATGAGAACATGATCCAGTAATTTCAGGTATCCAGGTAACCTGAAAATGATAAGCTACATGAACATTCAACTGGAGAGAAAAAAGCCAAGGCTATCCCTGTGTGGAGTTTACCTGTACTCCAAGACAAATTTACCATCAGTTACCTGAACGATAGCTGGGTCTTGAGGCAAAGAACACTGTGGTTTTGGTGGCTCACAAACAGTAAGGTCTTTAATGTCACTCCCACGGAATATAATGTATTCAAAGACTTCATCTCGAGGTGGTATTGGACGATCTGTCGGTCTGTCTTCTGTACCAAAGGATCGAACTGGCAAGAAAACAAAGGATATGAGATGTGTGACTACTCACTACATTCAGGTAGTACCCCAGATTCTAAGTGTTGTATTTCAAGTACTAAGCAGTAGTTCTGAAATGTTTGAGAAAGTATTCATTAATCTATAGCTAAATAATTTTTTTAAAAGAGGAAAATAGAGTGGGTTTTGCCTGAAGTTAAATATATGCAATATAAAAGACTATCAGTATTACGAGGTTGTGCTCCTCTTTTTTTGAGACGGAGTCTCCCTCTGTCGCCCAGGCTGGAGTGCAGTGGCCGGATCTCAGCTCACTGCAAGCTCCGCCTCCCGGGTTCAGGCCATCCTCCTGCCTCAGCCTCCCGAGCAGCTGGGACCACAGATGCCCGCCACCTCGCCCGGCTAGTTTTTTGTATTTTTTAGTAGAGACAGGGTTTCACCATGTTAGCCAGGATGGTCTCAATCTCCTGACCTTGTGATCCACCCGCCTTGGCCTCCCAAAGTGCTGGGATTACAGGCTTGAGCCACCGCACCTGGCCGGTTGTGCTCCTCTTATATTTTTATTTATTTGTATCTTTAGTGGTTGTAGTGAGGTGTTAAAATGTCCTTTCATTATTTATTTATTGATGAGCCTGGGTCTCTGTATCCCAGGCTGGAGTGCAGTGGTGTGGTCATGGCTTCCTGCAGCCTCCGTTTCCCGGGCTCAGGCAATCCTTCCATCTCAACATCCCATGTAGCTGGGACCACAGGTATGTGCCACTAAGCCCAGCTAATTTTTTTTATGTTTTAGTAGAGATGAGGCTTTGCTATTTTGCACAGGCTGGTCTTGAACTCCTGGCCTCAAGAGATCGTCCTGCTTCAGTCTCTCAAAGTGCTGGGATTACAGGCCTGTGCCATTGTGCCTGGCTCACTGTTAATTTATTTTTAATGTTCTCATTCAGCAAAATAAAAATTAGCAACCTATGTCTTTCTTGGGGAGGGATGGGGAGACAAAGATTTTTCCAGTCTACAAAATCTCAAAGTTTGGGTACTGATCTTTGGGACACAGAGAGCAATGAAGGTATTAATATTTACCTTGCTGAGCAGTAAGTCCTCTAGAAACCAAACCGAGTAGCTGCCAGCTATTCAGGCCCATGGGACAGCCTGAAATACCCTAGTTACCTAAAATATCTACCACATAATTAAATCTGATTATTTTAACAATGAAGATAGCATTACTCAAAGTTAAACCAGGGACCACCTGCAACACAGTAAGCTGGCTACAAATAAAGATTTCTACTGAATCTTTTTGCTGGGGACAGGGTCCAAAAATCTGCATTTTAAGCCAATTTCTGGCTAGGCACAGTGGCTCACACCTGTAATCCCAGCACTCTGGGAGGTCAAGGTGGGAGGACTGCTTGAGCCCAGGAGTTCAAGACCAGCCCTAGCAACATAGTGATGTCCTGTCTCTACAAAAAATAAAAAAACAAATTAAAAAAATTAGCCAGGTGTGGTAGTATATGCCTGTAGTCCCAGCTATAAGGAGGCTGAGGTATGAGGGGATCTCTTGAGTCTGGGAGATTGAGGCTGCACTGAACCGTGGCTGTGCTCCTGCACTCCAGCCTAGGTGACAGAACAAGACCCTATTTCAAAATAAATAAATAAAATAACCAAATTCCAAGTTTCTTATAAATACAAAAGTTTCAGGTTCACTGTCCTGGGAGATTTCTGAAAATGTCTGCATCCATAGAGAAGTTCCAAATAGAGAATACGAAACATCATATACTATTCATTTAAAGAGTATCCTAAAAGAAGTAAACCCCTTAACATTTTTTTTTTTTTTTTGAGATGGAGTCTCACTCTATTGCCCAGGCTGGAGTGCAGTGGCGCGATCTCGGCTCACTGTAACCTCCACTAAGGATGAATGTCAGGCTGGATGCAGTGGCTCATGCCTGTAATTCCAGCACTTTGGGGGGCTGAGGTGGGCAGATCACTTGAGGTCAGGAGTTTGACACCAGCCTCAACAAAATGGTGAAACCCTGTCTACTAAAAAATACAAAAAATAATTAGCTGGGCATGTTGGTGTGCACCTGTAGTCCTAGCTGCTCAGGAGGCTGAGGTGAGAGGATTGGCAGAACTCAAGAGGCAGAAGTTGCAGTGAGCTGAGCCGAGATGGTGCCCCTGCACTCCAGCCTGGGTGACAGAGCAACAATCTGACTTAAAATAAATAAATAATTAAAAAAGAATATTATTTCAGTGTAAATAATGTCCTACACTCTTATTCTAAAAGTTCTTTCTAGTACTTATGAGACTTTCAGGAAAGATAGTGGCACAGGTAGTTTGGCAGAAGATCCTTCCCTAAAACTAAAGGAAAAAAAACAAAAAGGAAGTTAAAATATCCCTAAAATCACGAAAAGTTCTCAAACTCATACCATGAAATTTTATTAAATAGTACAATTAAGGTACAGAATGAGTTAGTTGAAACTGAAAGACCAAGCCCAGAATCCATATGTAAGTATCCCTTGCCCTCTCCTCCCCTGAGAGAAATTTTGACTAGCATCTTCAACTTGCTAAGATGGGGACAGGGACACAGGTGTGATGAGGAAAAAAATGTGGAACACCCTACCTGAAACTCCCCTTCTCTGGTGGCCAAACAGTACTTTAGCAGGCAGGAGGATTTTATATTTTTACCTTTATCCAAAAGGAAGGGTAAGGAGGAGAAAGGACTAATTACAAATAAATCAATCTCACCCCTAACCTCAGTACCATCACAGCGAATAAAGTCTCACGCTTCCAAAGTAGCAGATGAGATCATCCTGAAGCAGAGGGGACAAGAGTCAAAGGCCCTTCTTCTACACAACTAGAGAAGCTCTATTAAGCTTCCTAAGGCTTAATAGAGCTTAGCCAGGTGAATTCAGAGTGAAGTAAAAGAGAATCTGCATTTCACGTTTTCGCAAGCAGCAGATACTGAAAGGACCTACCAAGGAAAAAAAGAGTAGAAACATCAGGGAATCAAGACAAATTTTACAGGAAAGATGGAAAGAAGGGAAGAAAAGAGGGAAAGGAGGGAGGCAATGATGGAAGGAAAGAAAAAGGTATATCAAAATAAAGAAAAAAGGCAGGAAAGAAGGGAAGAATCAAAGAGGACATGGTCTTCATTTGCTTATTCTGTTTTTTTCCACTACCAGCAGTTTGCCCTGACAGAGAGGACACAGTCTTCAAAAGGTGGATGAAATACATTCAGCATTAGTATTTATCACAGAAAATAGAAGAAATTTTCTGAAAGGACTGCTTCGACATTCACAAGAAAAACAGATAGCATAGACTCTTATGATCAAAACAACACTGAAAGGGTAGCATGCAGAATTAAGGAAAGAAAATTATACAAGATAAATAAAACAGCATAACTAATAAATGCATCAACAGTCAATGCAGTTAAAACCAAATCACTAGAAGACAATAATTTTGAGAAAACGTAACCGAGATGTCATGAAAAAGTAGTACAGCAATAAAAAGGTTAGAGAAAAGATGATAGTTATGAAGATCCAACAGTTAACTACTGCCCCTGAGACAGACAAAAGAATAAGAGAAAATAAAATTAAAGTTATAACAGAATAGAAATGTCTTGACATGAAGGTCTAAATTTCATTAAAAGTTTTCACTGTATTTCCAGGAAAGAAAAAAAAAAAAATCAGACCACTACAAGCCACAGAGACTTATGTTATGGTATATCAAAATAAAGAATGCAAAAAAAGTGGCATCCAAAGATAAGAAATGGACAATAAATTCATTTAAACAAAGATGTGTACATGACAATTTACTATGGTTCTAGAATAGAAATAGTTCTGGAAAAGACTAGAAAGTTACAAAGTGTAACAAACTAAGAACAGTATATCACAATATTTTAACAAAAATTGGGAGATTAAAATGAATGGAGAAAAAGGAAAACTGAACAGACAGTAGTAGTATCTAAACTTACACTTTCATCTCTCATCATGTCAAGTAGGAGTCACTTGACACTTTTTTTTTTTTTTTTTTTGGTTAGTTGATACTAAGCGAAGGCTTTAAAATTTTTTATTTGAAAGAATTTGTTAAATTCTACTATGGGTCTTGGAAATAACCCATAGTAGAATTTAAAACTAAGAGCATACTTTCCAAAATATGGTGTGAAGAAAAACTCTATCATATGGCAAATGAAGCAAACTGAAAAAGCATGAAAACAGAAATCACAGAAGAAGAATGATTTGCACACACTAAGAGTTTGAGAAACATGCTCTAATGATGGAGGCTGGCTTAATAAGATTTGGGGTTTTCAATGCAATCGAGTTCTTGTAGTATTGTGAAGAACAAATTCCACAAGAGAGATTAGAAGGGCACATATGGCTAGAAGATACTGTTACAGAACAAATGAGAAGTCTGGAAGGTTAAAACTTGAGCATTAAGAGTAGAGAGGAAGGAGGCATGACAAGCATAGAAAAGGTAAAGAACTACCGAAACTATTCTACTACAACACATACATTAGCTCATATGCAATCAGTAAATAAGGGAATTATGTCAGTACATTCAGAAATCACATTGGTTCATTTCCAGTTTTTCCTAAAATGTTATTTAGTTTTTGCATTTGCAGGTAACAACAGTTAAATACACCTAGCCATGAGTAGTGCCATCACTTCTGGTTACCTTTACTGTTTTTAAAGGGAAAGTTATAAATTTACCGAATTATTTGTTTAAAAATTTTAACTTATCTTTAAGCACACTAGTATTTTTTATTAGGTTTACATTAGTGCTTAAATTACAAAGATGCACAGATTTCAAATGGTCTGCTCCTAATCCTAGTTTTCCCATAAACCCCGTTCCTCTTAGTGCAAGAAGGCATACCTCAGATTACAGCACAAATGCCTTTGCCTGGCTGGCAAAATCTGAATTATGTTCTAATTGTTATTATTTTTTTCATTCATAACACGTAGTACTTTGAGAAAGAACATTTTTACTCTATTATTCATTTTGGAATTCTACAGCAACTACACATTCCAATGTAAATACCCA